GACTGCATACATCAATGAAGCGTCGGAATTGTAGAATTAATGCTGAACTTGTTGTAAATTCTGCTCAGGGAATCGTTGACGAGTATGTATTTTCCTTGCCGTAGCAAGGCTGCTGTTGAACCCCGCCAGTGAGAATCTCTGCAGATCTGTACGAAAGTGAAGATCTTCTATATGGCCATGAATCTTCTCATGTAGATATAACAATCTATGTGAATCCTGGATTCAGTCTGAAGATCCGTCCCGGTGATGAATTCGGACAAGAGTACCCCTCTTGAACTGTATTACAATGTCCTTCAGTCTGTGTACAGACGAAGACCTTTCCTGTCTAGGGTGACGATACCTTTTGTCCTGGTTGAATAACCTTGAAGATCTGCGTAGCGATCTGCGTAGTGGTCGGCGTGGTGTGACTGTATGGCGCCTTGCGTGTAGGTAATCGTCTCGTAGTCCGGGATTGCCTTCCTGGCAATACATTCCGAAATGGTGATTCCAGTGATGATCTGCAAGGCGTCGTTGATGCCCTTGATGTAGGTAGTCGGCCTGAAGATCCCTTATTAGGCTCATCATCTGTTGACAGTCTCTGAAGATAGCGCCTTCCTTCGCGCAAGTTGTAGACGACATGTAGCGTTCTGTTAAGAAGCTAAGTACTGCGACGTCTCTGCGTTGTAGATGGCCTGTGCGAATGCCTTCGCGCAGGCTCGGTGATGGCATGTAGCGTTCTGTTGAGAATCTAAGTACTGCGGTGTCTCTGCGTTGTAGATGGCCTGCGCGAATGCCTTCGCGCAGGCTTGTTGACGGCATGTAGCATTCAGTTGAGAGACTAAGTACTGCGATGTCTCTGCTTCGCTGGGGATCTGCGTGGAGACCTGTGTGAAGACCTTCGTGGAGACCTGCGCGGAGACCTGTGCGGAGACCTGTGCGGAGACCTGCGTGGAGATCGGCGTAGGGATCGGCGTGGGGAGTGGCCCGGCGAACTGCGTCTGTAGGGTGACCTGCGCAGAGATGAGCGACTGTGGGTTCGCGGATGTCTCGGCGAATCCCTCGACAATCTGCATGATGCGGAAGCCGTCTTAGATACTGTATCTGAAGTCCTTCGCGAATGCCTTCGCGAACGCTGATCATCTGATTCCGCATCTGGGGGAATGGCGACTGGTCCTTCGCGAATGCCTTCGCGAACGCTGATTGTCCGATTCTGTATCCAGGGATGGGTGATTCCTCCTTCGCGAACGCCTTCGGGAACGCTGGTCGTCCGATTCTGTATCCAGGGATGGGTGATTCCTCCTTCGCGAATGCCTTCGCGAATGCTGAACATCTGATTCCGCATCTGGGGAATGGCGACTGGTCATTCGCGAACACCTTCGCGATCGCTGGTCGGCTGATGCTGCATCCGGGGATGGGCGATTCCTCCTTCGCGAACGCCTTCGCGAATGCAGATCGTTCGATGATCGTCTGAGTCCGCCGCAGGGGATGGTTGAGTCGACCTTTGCGCAGGCTGGTCCGGGAGTGTAGTTCTGCTAGCAGAAGTCACATTGCTGGAGGGCCCCTCAGAGCTGACGTCTGCGTTGGAGCCTTCGCGAAGGCTCGGGACCTGAGCTGGCTGTGAATACTTTTCCAGGCCGTAACGCTGCTCCATCATCTCCATGATCTGTTGGGAGAACTGCTGCATGAAGTCGCCCGGGTTGAAGGTCTGCGGTTGTACTGGCGCTGCCCTTTCTGCGGTGATAGCGACGTGGCCCACTGGACGGTCATCTGTTGTCAACGTTGATACCCCGGGTTGAGTAGAGATCTGCGCTGACGTCACCGTAGCTGAGACCGGTCGTTGCTTGGGATGAACCTCTGGGATGATGATCGGTTGATCATCATAGAGTCCCTGTTCCGTCAACGGGACAAACGCGGCAGAGAAAGTCCTTGTAGTCTGCGCAGACGTCCCCGTAGAGTTGGTCGTCATCTGAGGGGTGTGTAGCCTTCTCTGGGTAGAGGAAGGCTTCTATTCATCGTCTGCAATGATTGTAGAGCTGCCCTCTCTGCGTTGATAGCGATATGGTCCAGGGATCGCTCATCTGTCGCCCTCGGACTGCGTGCTGTATCTCTGGGATGATGATCAGCAGCAGCTCATCATGAAGTCATCTCACTGCCATCGGGATGATGTCTGTGAGGCTTCATTCTGCGTAGAGGATGGCTTCGTCTTCTACATCGAGGAGTTGTCCGATGTAGAAGCCAACGTCTTCGAAGTAATGGCGGACAACATCCCACGCCCATCCTCCGAGGACACCTCCGGCAGGTCACTTGATAGTAGTAAGTCGTCTAACAGCAGTAGACAGCTCGTGAGGGACTCAGCCAGTTTATCCATGACTTGGAAAGTCACCTGGATTTGTCGGTAGTACGTCTAAGTACAGAGAAAAATTATTTATTAAATTGAATTTCTGTTAAATGCTGATAAAGATTACAGCTATAGCTGGAAGTACATGTTGTTGTGCAGCTAGGGCACAGTCAATGCGGGTTTGCAGCAGCGAACCTAAATCTACAACGAAAATAGGTTTTCATGAAATGTAAACAACTGAACAAACACGGACAATTCCGTGAATAAACAGTGCTAAATACGATTAAATATCAAACCATATTGTTGAAGAATACTAACTAAACCTCTATAAAAGTAGAATAAAGAATAACTAAGTAATTAAAGGATATAGTGCCATATAGAAGACACAGGCGCGCTCTCACAACCTGCCCACAGGGCGAAGAAGGAGAGAGTGAAGCATGTGGGGACGGTGGCGTCACAGTTTCCCGCCTAAACAGCTGGGGAGATAACTCTTGGGAGGAGTGATTTTATGTCTGTTCTTTATTGAAGGGAGCTTCAATAGGAGATACAAGTGTTCCACTAACATTCGCAAGAGGAAGGAGACAAGCATTAAGCATGAGTCAGGATAAGGAAAAATATATAGAAGAAAAAGGTACAGGGATATTATGACATGTTACAAATGGAAAAAATCGCCACAATTTGTGCTTCCTTCGTGGTTTATCTGGACATTATAAATGTTTAAGTTTGCATTTTCATTAAAAATTAACTTATCTAAGCTGTAGTTGGATTATTTGAATAATATGATCAAAAATAAATTTCATATATAAACTGTAGGATTAGACCTTTCAAATGGTGTATGATATGTAGTAGCAATAATGTTTTACAAGCTGATATTCCTTGATAAACATAGGCTTATTCTGTGACCTCAGAGTCTCTGGAAACTCGGTGTCATGGCAGTAAAAGCCTCTGGTTGACTGGTGTTGAAAGAGTTAATGATATAGGCCGGTGATTTGAGGGATCAGTATCATCCAGTCCAGGATTTGGTATAGGAATGATAATGCCATTACGCCATGAAGGATGTCAAAATTTCACCAAATATATTGAGTTGTTTCCAAACAAGAATCAGGTAGGTGTTTCAGGAGCTGATACTGAATATCATCAGCTCCTGTTGCAGTATAGAAATGAATGCAGGAACACTTGAAGTTGTCACAGTTCAAGATGTCCCTAGAGAAAGAGCCTGGTCTGAACTCAAAAGCCCTAGAAGTTCGTGCCTCTGTTGAAGGGACCTTGACTGGTTGAGTGCCAATGGAACTTGGCTCATTTGTCTATTGAAGATCATGCGGAACCTGTCTGAGTGGTTCTTGAAAGATCAGTGAATTAAAACCTGGGCGAGGGACCAAAGTCATCTGTTCCCAAAGAGGTCTGTAGCACTCACAATTTTGGCTTGGAAAAGCCTCCTTCGAATTCATGTCAGAACAAGCATATAGCACCAGATATCTCTGACAAGTCTTGCACTTGGATCTTTTACATGCGAACCAATTCAAGAGACACATGGAACTGGTTCCTCTTATGGACTCTTGTTGGCAATGGATTGAATGGCATCATTGAATACAGACTTGCCCAACTATGAAACAATTGGAGTTTGGCGCTTTTTTAAAGTCGGCGGCAACTTCTCAGAGTGTCGTATAACCCAAAAGATGGGAGATCTTGTCGTATCACGATTTAGAACTGTTTATGCTCAAGGATGATAGCACCCCTACTGACAGCTTTATGTGTGGTAGTTGAGTGAGCGACTGTCACAGACATCCAAAGTAGGAGAGTCTACAACGACTGACAGTCTGTGGATGGGGGAGACTCCCACTGAAAACTGTCTCTCCCACTTTCAGTTTGGAGAATTCTTTGTCCAATGACAAAATATGATCCTCAGTGCCGTACAAGATTTCTTTCCTAACAAGTGCCTTACAAGATTCCTGCGGAACCACACAAGAAAGTACAGACTAAAATATATACTTTGGGCTAAGTTGTGGTTACTGATACAGATTACTTGCAGACTGGTTCAAAAGGGGTGCATTTTGAGGAAATAGTAAGGACAAATTACTAAGTAAAGCCATTTCTAATATACTCATGGAAACAAATAAGGGAACACATGAAAGTACAAGTGTTCCATTATCTTTTTCCAGGTTTCTTCACAAGGTATGTATTGCACTTTGAGTGAAATTCTGGAAATAAATAAAGGAACTCTTGTACTTTCATGTGTTCCCTTATTTATTTCCATGAGTATTTGTAAGAAATTTCACACAATATAAGAATTGCAACAATGGTAAAAATCAAAAGCCAAGATACATCAAATTTCATTTCAAACACTGTAAACACTGATTAGAAAAAATGAACTATTACAGGGCTATTTTCCTCCAAAAAGTTCAGATCTATGAGCATCAAACTCAGATTCTAAGAATTTTGACACATTGCGCTTCCTGAATGGACATTTCCAAAAGTTCTGATCAGTAGAGACAGAACTTTAGATAGACTAGAAGATATGTAAATAAGCTCACTGAGACCTTTTATCCAGGTGAGCCACAAGTTCATCCTTTCCTGTTTAAGTTAACAATGAAAAACAATTCAGTGAAAGTGACAGAGGGTGATGTGCCATCATGTAAGGGTCAACACTGATAATGGTCTGTTGAGCTAGTATTGGCAGACATACTTTCCTTTCCAAGAGTGCTTTGTGATGAAATAACAGGCAACATCTGTATTGTCTTTCATGGATGACATGGCTGGCTGAAACAAACAAAATTCACAATGTCACAAAAAGAACCAGAGGAAAACATGAAATTGAAGGTAAAATGTCATCAAAGACAGCCAAAGTGGCCGTCAGCATTGAGCATTGAGCATTGTACATAAATTATGAAACATTGTGCGCAAAATGGCAACTGTGAGGCAACTAAATGCCAACAAAGTGTCTTAATATGCAACAAGGTACAATTCACCTGGATATACATTTCATGGTGGTTGTGCCACTGGGGGATAATTTTTATAGTTTTCTCAAAGGTTTTCTCATGGACCTATGGGTATCGAAAAAGGTACTTGAATGGAGAGTATTTATCTTCATTATTTTCTCAAACAATTTATACTCAAAGGCAAACGTTATTGTGATTTACTTGAATTTAGATATGTGAATTAACAACTGAAATTTTTTTAATGAGACATATGCATTAACATATGCTGCACCAAAAACTGCTGAACCACCCTGGCGACATGAGTTCTGGCATTGTCCTGCTGTAAGAACATTCCTGGACCATTCTGCTGGACTCGTCAGTGAAGAGAACATGTCTCCACCACAGATGTTGTCTGCACCACTGCAGTGATGTAAGAACGAACGTCTAGCATGTATCTTGTGTGCAGCCAGACGTCGGTGAAAGGTTTTTTGGCGATATCCTGTTGACACTAAGAACTGTTCAGGCTGTAACGTGGCTGGTTGGAATCTTTGGCGCAGATGGGTGGTTTGAATCCAATGATCGTTGAGAGGTGTGGTTACAGGTGGACTGCCACTTTGGGGATGGTTTCCAACAATGGCGTTTTGTTGATAACGTCTCCACAAGCGGCATATGGTGTTCCTGTGCATGTCAAACTGCTGCGCAACGTTATGCTGGGGTGTTCCAGTTTTACGCATTCCAATGTCTTGCCATCTTTTATTTTCAGTTAGCCGTCTCATAGAGAAATGCAAGCAGATTCTTCCTAATTTGTGTTTTTCGGACTTGTCGATGTGTATACAATGATTTACATGACAATGATTCAAGGTTTAGAGCCACACTTTTTAAAGGGCATGTCTTATGCCTTTTTTTCCACAGACTTCTTGAAAGCACGAAAAATGTGTGCAAAACAAAAACTACCGACAGGGCCCTGTTTGGGTTATGGATTAAGTGTACTATAAAGAATATCAGAATGCATTTTTTATGAAGATTTTCTCATTTCTATAAACAAATGTGTTGATCACACTAACTTTGGCCTTTGAGTATTTATGTTAAAGTCAATGTCTACAATCAGGCAATGTGTACAATCACTGAAATAACCAGTCAATGTGTACATTGCCTGATTCACTCAATCATTGTGTACATTGTCTAAAATTTCCAGGCATTGTGTACATTGCCTGATGAATTAACCCAATTATTGTACAGATTGACTGATTGTTGAACAGGGATTATTGAGGAGACAAGATTAGCATGGGTTTCGTTCTGTTTGAATGATTAAGTGGTGAATATCTTACAAATTCATTAATTGAAGCACAAGTGACTTTATTTCAAACAGTATCAAAAACACATGATGTTCTGATGTAAAAGAAATAGTATCAGCTACATAACACAAAAATACAATTTAGACAATGTACACAATGCCTGGAAATTTTAGACAATGTACACAATGACTGACTCTAACATATATAACATGTTATATTTATCATACTAGATCTCTCTTTAACCATATCTGGACCACAGGAACTATCCCCAACACTTGGAAAACAGCCAGAGTGGTACCAATCCTCAAACCAGGGAAACCCAACAGCGAGCCTGACTCATACCGTCCCATCTCTCTTACCTCCCACCTCTGTAAAACCCTAGAAACAATTGTAAACAACAGGCTCAAACACCTTATTTTAACCAACAACTTACTTAAGGAGGACCAGAGCGGCTTTACTCCAAATCGACAAACTTTAGACCACATTTTACATTTAGAACAAGATATCAAAGTAGCACAAGCTCAGAAACAATATACTATGGCCTTTTTATTGACTTCAGTAAGGCATTCGACATGGTTTAGCACAACGGCCTACTACAAAAACTTCAAAAACATGCCACTCACGGTCGAATTTTAAATTTCATTCACTCTTTCCTAAACGACAGACAAATAACAATCAAATCTCACAACACCATCTCGGACCCATACCCCCTAGAAAATGGAACCCCCCAAGGGAGCATATTATCCCCTTTATTCAACTTCATGATTAATGACATTTTTCCAGATAAATGGCCAGAAATCACAACTGCCAAATTTGCAGACGATATTTCATTTTGGACCTCCTCCACCTCAGTTAAACAGGCATCACTCAAAATTCAAAAAATGCTAAACTCCATTCAAAACTGGGCCCAAAAATGGGGGTTTAACATCAACGTTAAAAAAACCGTGGGCATATTATTCAAAACACAGTATATGCAAAATTATACCCCCAAACTTCACCTAAATAACCAAGAAATTGAATTAAAAAAAGAAGCCAAATTTCTAGGAGTAACTTTCGACCGCCATCTTACATGGACACCCCACATTAATAACTTGGTCAATTCATGTCAAAAAGATCTAAACTTAATGCGAGCCATCAGCGGCACAAACTGGGGTGCCGACAAACATACCCTCATCAACATATATAAAACTCTCATATTATCGAGATTGGACTACGCCCCGATTCTCCACAACCTCACCTCCCATAATCTTCAAAAACTTAATTCCATTCAATTTAAAGCCCTCAAATTAGCTCTCGGCGCGAGGAGTGGTACCTCTCTTAACACATTACTTCTACTCACAGGCACCTCTTCAATCACACAAAGAATAAGCCAAACCACACTCACTTACTGGGCTGGGGTCCAACACAACCCCATATTTAAACTAATCACAAACAAATATAAAAACATTAAGAAATCTACACTTAAAAAGTTCAAATCAAACCCATTTAAAGCATCATGCCTTACTCACTTATACAGTCTGCTACATGCACAACAGCTCAACACCATACAACACACACCTCCCATTACAAGCTACATTCACGACAAACCCCCACCCATCACAGACATGTCCCTTGACACAATCCTCAAACAACTACCTAAAGACACCCATCAAACCACCATAACTAATATCACAAACAACTACATAACTACAAACTACCCCATCCACACTCACATATGTACAGATGCATCAATCAACACAAACAAACCCACAGGCCTAGGCATACATGTTCAACAAACCCCTCCCATCACAACTAATTTCCACTATACCAACTACACCACAATAAACACTGCTGAACTCACTGCCATCCTCACTGCACTCCATCTAATACCCACCCTTCCCCAAACAAACTTCCTCATCTTAACTGATTCACTCAATTCTATCAAACAACTCCACAACATGCACTCTAAATCTCGTCCAGACCTGATACACAATATAGTAACCCAAACAGACTCGCTCGCACGCTCAAACAAAAATATCACATTCACTTGGATACCCAGCCACTCAAACATCACAGGAAACGACACCGCAGACACCGCAGACACCGCAGCCAAACTCGCCACATCCCATATATCACCAAATCTCAATTTTCACACATCCAAATCAGAAATAAAAAAACTGATTAAAACTAACATATCAAATTCAAGCTTCCAACACAACATCAACACAAACAAATCAACCTGGGTCACATCCATTATTAAATCTCCAATTAAAAAAACCCCACATATTCAAATATCAAAAACACAGACACAGCAATAACCAGGCTAATCACAGGCATCACAAACTTAAATTACACACTCTATAAACAAAACAGACACCCGGATGGACTATGCACACATTGCAACACCCATGAAGACATAAACCACATATTCACACATTGCCAGCTGCAACAAACAAACATTAAGCAATTACACAACAACATTCCCACGAAATACCACAATAACATACACCTCCTTCTCAACCCCCACAATCCGTCCAATATATTCCTTGCCATAGCCACCTTCCTACAAAACTCTAACCTACTCCAAAAAATTTAGAACCTCCCAAACAAACCCTCTCATTACCACTCAGTTCTAGCTTACATACTTAGATCAGGCGTCAAAATTCCACTTACCCATACTATCATTCTATCACCAGCACACGCCTACACATTTAGACCTGGTAGTCAATTTCATTCATCTATAGTGCTCTAAATCCGCTGCGAGGTCCGCGCCCACCCCTAGCCAATCACACTCCACTAGAACGTAAACAAAGCAGCCCAACCCCTCTAACGCAAGGTCAAGGCCATCCACCCAAGCCAGCTTACCTGCAATCTTCACCTACAGCCACGGCCCCTTACCCACAGCCTTCTTCGCTCCCACCTCATCCCCCATCCCCACCCCCAACCAACTTAACCCTTTCTTCTTTCCTTATTAAATCCCCTTATACTAATTATGCAGCTTACCTGCATTCCTATACATGCCCCACTATGCTATACTTCCTTACCATCTCCTTTCCCCCCCCACCATAGGCCCAACATTTTCATCATTACTATTTAGTAATAACTCTATCTACTATCACTAATAAACTCAAGTGTATTTCTTTCCCTTTCCCTTCATAATATTGGCTTTTTATTTATTTTTTCTCATGTTCTTAAAGTTTTTCACTTCAAAATTCCACTTAGGTTAATGCCCCAGCATTTATATTTTTTTGGGTACGGTGGTTTACTCCTTATTTTAAACCTATTTATTATTATCTTATCTCCCACCTACCCCGTCGGCGACATTGGCTACAGCTAAAAGCCGACGTTAAACCCTAAATCATCATCATCATACTAGATCTCGACAGACATAGTTGATCTTAAATTGTTGTTAGTTTATTGGTTGCATAGCCTGAAAGATTAATGCAGTAGAGAGGAGGAGACATTGCCTGCATTAGGTCTGATTAGGCTCCAACATTTTTATGATAAAATTGATATTTTATACTTATCCTAACTCATACTTATTGCTTTATCTCCCTCTCCTCTGCAG